TCATGTAGCTCTTTAAACAAATTTGAAAATGGACTGGGCCAAGAATTTTTCAGCACCTATTCATATAAATTGATCAATTAATATTTTGTTTTTTGTTTATTTATTTACTTTTTCTGTGAAAATTGATCAATTAATATTTCTTCTTTTTGCAGGCAATTATTATTAATTTTGGGTCTCCATATGCGTAACATCCAAGAACAACATGAAGCCGAAATCCAAAGCATTCAACAAGAACACTTTTCCCTTTCGTGCCAAGACTCCTCAACCTTACTATCCTGTTGGCAAAGAGGGTTACATGGTTGGACGACGAGCATATACTCCCCAGCCAGCAAAATCCCAGTTCCCTACTCCAAAAACAAATGATGGTTACTCTCAGGTTCAGCCCCCAAGAAGACGACAGCTTTTTGCTGACAATGAAGAAGTCCACAAATCAGCTAGAGTGGCAAAAGTGTTTGCTGAAGCTATGATGAATGATGTGGCTTGTCAAGGAAGAGATAAACTGAGTCCTCAGGAACAGATCGAGATGGAGCCATTGCCATTCTGCACTCTTGATGGTATTCCCGACACTGAAATTGCGCAAAAAATGAACATGCTAAAACAAGGTGATAGTTTTTATATTCCCAAGTCATCAACCAACCAGCCAAATATCTTGAAAACCAATATGATGGATCCTAAAAAGATCTACCCTATTGGTAGATCCCTGTCCACATCGGTACCTTCTAAAAACGATTCGGTGTTTGTTGTTCCTTTGTATGAAAAAATTGATACACCTGAACATGATATCCACCAATCTTCCATTCATGAGAGAATAATTCCAGTCAGTGAAGGCCAACGGATCTTTGCCCATAATGCAATTCCTGAAAGAATTTATCAAAGATCACCTTCACCATTTGGTGTAAAACCATCATCTTCGGAAAGTATCTATTCGAAAGCAACAAAACTGGGTGATCCATTATATGGAAAGATTACAAAGAAAGCAGATCAAAGTTCTCCAGCCAAGTACAACTACAAATATATCTTATGCCAGACACCAAAAAAAGACTCGTGTTACTCAGCAAATATGGCTGAAGTTCCTTCCAAGTCAAGACATTGTATGAAGTCACCAGATGAACATTTGCAATTCTCCCCTCAGAGACTCAATTATGCTGTAAAGGAATCCTTCCAAGGAAAGCCGTCTACTTTTTATGAAAGTTCCCAGCAAGACATGCTTGATTTAAGTGTAACTCCGGAATCTCTAACTTCAGATTTTTCACCTGGGGATGATAAGCAGGAACGAGGTAATATATCTGGAACTTCAACAGAGTTTTCTCCCCCTGGAAATAATCCTAACCGTAGCAATGCATCAGGGACATCAGTAGATCAATCCCCAAGTGCTTTCCAAGATGTGAGAAAAGTGTGTGACACTCCCATTGCTCACCCCAAAATGTTACCCACAACTCCAACTGATTCACCAACAAGTGCCAACTATGATGGACAATCAAGAACTGATTGCGATAAATCTTTGAAGACATTGCTTGTTTATTCACCAGAAGACAACATTAACTACGAGGACACATCTGGGAGTAAAGTTGACTTTTCCAGAAATGTCACTGGAGAATCTGTTAATTTTTCACCTCCAGACAGTCACTCGCAGTATTTATCTACAAGTCGTGTATACTCGCCATCCAGGCACATTGTTGAAACTGACAAATTCTCACCCTCTTCTCCATTGGCAATGAGTGAAACGAGCTCTCGAGGAAATACTTCTGGTGCTTCAGCTAAAATGTCTCCTTGCCGCAACTTACCCCATCCTCCTGTAGCCCAGATGTTAACACCGAAGATGGTGCCGGCAGTTAAGGAGGTCATCATGAACAGTAGAACAGCTTCTGAACCGCCAAAACGAAACACAAAGTATAACAAACGAGAAGAGTATACGAGTTCAATACGAAGCCGATCTGCTTCTCTCTCTCCTCATCGAAATATTGGAGATGATTCTTTAGGTCCTCGGGAGCAGCCTTATGGTCAGTATGGGCCATATAACAGAAAAATTGAGGGGTCAAATGTTTATTTGTCCCAAACAAAGAAAGATCAGGATGACAGTATATACAAAGGTCAGAAATGGAACCCTGACATTGAGAGTCAGCCACGCAAAGAGAAGCCACCACCTCCCTATCCATCCCGTACTTCACATAATGGACCATGCTCAAAATTACATGGCGAGTCACGTAAAAATCTTCTTCGGGGTCGGGGTAATTTTCGAGTGGGACCAGAAGGAGTCAGTTACCGGAGGAAGAAAATAGAAAGGTTAGACATGAGTTTTGACCAGGCTGATGATTTGCCACGGTCAGAGTTGGATGTCGAGGGTGATGTGGACAGAGAAGAGTTGTACCCAACACCCGAAAAAAATCGAATATTTTTAGATTATGAGTACCAAAAACACTTGGAGGACCAGCAAAATTTCTTATTGCTCAGAGACAAAGGAAGTGGTAGTGATTCTGATGCAGTCGAGACTATTATATAATCAGAAAAGACTTTCTTTTAGTTGATAAAAGTTGTAAAAAATACAACTTATGTGACTCAGTTTGAACAATGTTTGTAGAAGTGAGAAAAGTGTCTCATTTCTTTTATCTTTTTTATCTCACAGCATGGACGTCAATAAGTTCACAGTCTCATGATGAAAAAAAAAGCACTTATTTTACACAACAAATATTTATTTTCAACATAGTGTTCTTCTTTGTCAGTGCACTTAATTCAATGATGAATCAAACATTATACAATTAAATTTTCAGATCAAAATTTAGCTGCAGACATTGATTCACCAATTTATATCAAAATTTGTAATCAAATGAAATCATACAGAAAGGGCTTTTTACAATTAACATGATCATTTTGGCAAACTTGAACATCCGTGTCTGCGAAAATCTGTCAAAAAGACAGTTTTTCCCTTAACATTAATATTATTTTAATTATCTTCACTCTCTCGTAAATGTTTATTGTTTAAAAAAGTGATGATTAGAATTTTAATAAGACTAAACATATGAAAGTGAATTTATATATTTTTTTGTTCTTGAGAATTTACAGCAAAGATATTAAACATTATTTATTTATTAGATTGCTTATAATAATTTTGAGAATAAATTTGGAATGGTTGGCAAAACATTGGCTAATTGCAAATTGATTCGAACTTTATAAAATGGTAAATAATAAGGATTTTCTTAGAGTTGGTTCACATATTTTAATAATTTAGTAAATGTTTGTAAATTTATGAATAAGAGATTTTCATATTTATTTCTTTATAAATTGGTAAATGATAAATATTGCATTGCATTAGTTTTAATTGTACTAGTTTTTAGAATTCTTTTAAATATAAAATTATTCTTGTAAATAAACAATCTAATAAATAAATCGTGTATAAAATTTTGTTGTAAATTCTCAAGAACAAAGAAAATGTATAAATCCACTTTCATCATAAGTTTAGGTTTTATTACAAATCAAATCATTGCTTTTTAAAACAATAAACATTACTGAGGAGTGAAGGTAGTTAAAATAACAGTGGTGTCAAGAGAAAAAAAATCCTTTTGACACTCCTTTTTTTTGTGGGCATGAGGGTTCAAGTTTGCCATCATTTTTATCTTTATTTGTTAAGAGCAAATTAAATAATTTAAAATACACACACACACACACACACACACAAAAGAAATTGCAATAACTTCTCTTTTATTAATTCTCTCAGATTGATTGGATAATTTTGATGCTTTTTACAATGTAAACTGTTCATAATGTCAGTCCAGCATTTTGGAATCATTATTTGTCATTGTCTATTCAACTACCAACCACTTATATTCTTAGTATTTAATGATGGTACCGATCTCATTTCCAAATTGTTGAAGAATAACCATTTTTGTCTTGCACTGAAAGCACCTTGTTCAGTCATGGAACAGTTATGTAATAATATTACTTTTTTTTTTCTTTTTGCATTTGGTGCATTTATTATAACTTTTGTTATCACGATTGGATTCTGTTACTATAAAATAGAGTAAATTTTGGCAATCTTTGACCTTCGTCCACAAAAAAAAACCCCAAAAACAAAAGAAAGTGTCAAAAGGACAGTTTTTCCCTTCACATTGCTATTATTTTAACTACCTTCAACTCTTTCGCAATTGTTATTGTTTTAAAAAGTGATGATTAGAATTACAATAAAACCTAAACATATGAAACTGTATGTATATATTTTCTTTGTTCTTGAGAATTTACAACACAAATATTAATCACTATTTATTATATTGTTTATTGGAATGGTTGGCAAAACATCAACTAAATTACCAATCGATTGAAACTTTATAAAATGGTAAATAATTATAGTCGGTTCACATATTTTTATAATTCTAATTTTTATAATGTTTATAGTTTGTTTTTTTTTTATCGGTATCACCCCATGCACAGCAGTATGTGCCACTAAGACACATGGGGTTACAGGGTGTGGAAGAATTAGGAACAGAAACATTAATAATGATCAGGAAGATAAAAGAGTAATCAGGAGGATAGTAAATAGCAATTGACAATGCATTTAAATTTTTGCAGATTAATGTTAGATGGAAAGGAGGTTCCACAAGCATGAAGTGTGAGAAAAGAAACTGTTAGCATAGAATTTATGACTACAATTAGCCAGCTAAACTGTAAATTGATGAAGTCTAGATGCCAGTCTAGTACTGTGCTTAAATTCAAAAAGTCTACGTACCATAGAATTTTATTATGAATAAAAAATTATTTTCTTTATAAATTGGTGAATGATAAATATTGCATTGCATTAGTTTTAATTCTATTAGTGTTTTATATTTTTTTTGTAAATTCTAAAGAACAGAACAAATGTATAAATTCACTTTCATCATGTGTTTTGACTTTATTACAATTCTAATAAACACTTTTTAAAACATTGCTGAGGAGTGATGGTAGTTAAAATGATAGCGGTGTCAAGGGAAAAAAATCATCCTTTTGACACATCATTTTTTTGTTTTTGTTTTTGTAGGCTCAAAGATTAAAAAGTGCTTCTGAGAAGATAATTTAATTTTTTTTATTTGTCTTTGCTTTATTTAATTTTGGTTGAAGATCTTCAACTGTCACTGGATATGGTCATCGATTTGAGCACTTTGACATGGTGTAATGGTTAGCAAGCTTGTCTCGCTTTATCAATTGCTACTGAGTAATGAGTTTGATGCTCACTAGGTGCCTCTTTCAGCCTTGTTTTACTTTGCTTAGTAAAATTCTGGATATGGTCATCAGTTTAGAAAGTAAATATTGTTTTCTCCTTTTTGAGAGAGCATAAATTATATCAGATGTAAAAGCCACATTGATCAAATTTGGCTCTAATTTGGCTTTGTATTATTTTTTGGGAGGAGATCGTTTGGATTAAAAAACCTATGTCTAAAACTGAATAACACCTCAGAATTGTTAGGGTCACCAGAAGCTTTAACATATATAGAGGGAAATTTACCTTGAAGATGGTCAGTGATCTTTTAAAATTTGAAAATTCTGTTTTCGCACACCGTCTTTGCAGTTGGTGAAATTCTTATTAGAAGAAATGTTCTTTATTCCAAATAAATTGAATTTTTAAATGTATTTTAGCAAAAACTCAGTAAAAATCATGAAAAACTGAGTTTTTAGAATTCCTGTTGAAAGAAACTGATTTTTTGATTGGAGAAAATTTGTTTTTAAAGAAAATTTTGCTGATCATAAAACTACAGCAAAGAAGCAAAATTCTGGAAAAACAAATATTTTTCAAGAGTCAGTTCTTACAAGTTGCATTAAAAAAATAAACTTATCGTGTGTACTATTCATAAATACTACTTTCTTTTCATTCACAAGTAATATTTCTTTATAAACTTTTTACATCGTTCAGACTGTTGTCCTCATCTTTGTTGTTGGTACGGACCCAATATTCTGTAAAATGGAGACAATTAGAAAATTGTGGACAAATTAATAGATTCGCTTCCAAATTCCAATTGCCTCAAGAAGGTCGGAGCAATACAACGGCCAAAACATGGATATGGCAACAAAGAGATGGACAACAGTCTGAACAATGTAAATAGTGTAAATAGTTACAAGACGTCATCTCAGAAATATAGACAAGTAATATTTCTTTTCTACAACATTTCTTTTGCAAGACGCGGCATTGACCCTGTTGCCAGTTTCATGACAAAACTGGATGAAAATTCAAGCACAAATGATATTTGGCCCAAGTAGCCAACAATTGTAAGAAAAACAATTTTTTGCTTGGTGAAAGAATTTCTGGGATGAAGAGTTATCATTATTTACATTCAGGCTAATATCCTCATCTTTGTTTTATTATCACAACATTTCAGCCTTCTGGTGTCTATAGATCTATTCTGGGTAGAACTCAACTCTTTTTTAATAAAAGATTGTTTGATCAAACTTTCAATTGACCAAATAATTTTTATTAAAATCTATTGTTATAATTATTCTGTTTTATTTCTTTTTAAGTTAAAACTTTATCGTAGGTAATGTAAATAGAGAAAAAGGGAAAAAAAACGTTTGGTGTTATTTTAATATATCCCGGCATCTTGGAACATATTCTGCACACGTAAGGGGAGACTACTCGACTTTTATTCTTTTGATTCGAAAGTCTCATTTTTAGAAATGAGAAAATTGTGCTGCCTTGTGGCAAGCAATTTTTTTAAAGATTGTAGTTTCATGCAATTTAATGCCAAATTTCTTGCTTCTTCAAAGTTATTTAAATATCTTAAAAGAGTTTCACAGACAGAAGTTATTTTTTATAATCTGCGAAAATATCTGGACTCTGGTTTTAAGGTCTTCAAAAATATCTGGACTCTGGTTTTTAAGGTCTTCAAAAATATCTGGACTCTGGTTTTTAAGGTCTGCAAAAATATCTGGACTTTGGCTTAAGTACTAACATCAGAAATGCTCAATTTACTGTGGAATTGGTAAATAAAATTCAGTCTTCCTTAGGAAAGTTTAACATTTTAATTAAGACTTAGAAAATGATTTAATTAATATTTTCCAAATATTTACATCTCTCATTAAAGTTATATATATATATATATATATATATATATATATAATACTTCCATTACTTATAGCCCTTTTTGCAAATGGATGAGGCTATTATATTTGCATTCTCAATTTGGTAGAAAATTAAATTAATTATCTACTATAAAAAATTTAAAACTGCTAACCCCATTGTCAAAAATAATAATTCACCTGCAAGATCCAAATTACCGAGAACCAATATTATTCACAAATTCACATGTGCCTTAAGGAATTGTGGTCCTGACCAATCCAAATTCATAAATAATTATATTGGATATACTACAACATGCCTAACAAGAAATAACAGTTACATCTCTTTGACCATAGGTCTCATTTAAATACACATAGAAACCTACAAAACTCCATCTGAAACATACTTGTTGATAATACAAATATAAGAGTCTCATCCATATATATATATATATATATATATATATATATATATATATATATATA